TCCAGGGCTGCTTCTGCCCTGCTCTGACCCCCCCCCCCAAAGCAGCCAGGGGGAGCTCCAGGATCCAGCTGTAACTGCCTGGGTGCCAGCCATCTACACATGCCTTACTGCACAGTAATTACTTGGCAGTTAATTTTCTACTTGCATTTACAGGTAGTAAATTAACTACCAAGTAGAGCAATTTACTGCATAGCAAGGGTCTGCATGTGTAGATGGTGATGCTTACTAGTTCCACTGTGCAATAAAGCATCTCATGTAGACATGCCCCAGGAAAAATAAAAAGTATAGTGTGCTAACATAATTAAGACAGTGATTAAAATGTTCAGAAGCAATTCCCATTTTCAAAACAGATATAGGCACTTAGGAGTTAAACTCCCATTGACTTTGAACAAGACATAAGTTTGTAAATGCCTAAGGGGCCAGTTTTATGAAGTGACTTAGGTGCCTTATGAGACAGAGAAGCACCTAGTTGACCCTATAAAAGTGGCTATGCAAATGAATGGTCTTGTTCCCATTGCAATCAACAGAGCAAAAGAGACAAACCTGTTTAGGCAATTTTGATAATATAGGAAGTACCTATCTGCATCTTTGTGAATCAGAATGTCTTTGAAAATCTGGCTTGGTGTCATTTTGGAAAAATGGGATTTTGTCTCTGATGTCACATGAGTGGGTTTTAAACAGTTAGCCTGTATGTTACTGCATATGCTTGTGGGCAGGGGCAAATACATTGGCACAAGCAACTTTAATTCTGTCACATCCTAACTTTTAACTGATTAGCTTTGCAACCTTAATAACCTTCATTTGATGTTGTTTTTCGGTACTAAAGTAAGAACCTAGTAGTGAAAACCTTATACTTACTTTTACTCTATTGAAATCATCATACAATTTCTATTTTATTTATTTTAATGTTTTCCTGCTGGTCATCTTAAATGATATCCTTCCTCCCCCACCATCCTGCTTTCCCCCCATTCCTATAGGTTACATCCCTTCATGTCATTTTTTTCCGCCATTCAGTTTTCTATATGAATGCCTATTACGAACCTCTAATTTTATTTTCTCTTTTCCATTACTTCCACTACCTCTGTTTATTTGTTTCAGTTACTTGTGATCCAGTGTTTCATTTATTCTTGGTTTCTTTATAATGTTTGTTACCCTATTTAGCCCTTGAAAACACCCACAGGAAATATTACCTCAGCATCTTATTAGAACTGTAAAATTGTGGCTTCTGTCCTGATGTGCAATAGGCTATTACATTTCCTTCATAAGGGCATCCTGCATATGCTAGGTTAATATTTACTGATGTGTTAATGTAATAATGACCCATCTGCCTCTGCTCCTCTCTGGGGCACTTTCTATCTATAGGGATGGAAATTAATGACAGTCTCTGTGCTGCCTGATGTCAGAGCTGAGAAAGGTGTGAAGGGTATATAAGAGCTGTATTACTTGCCAGGCAGGAGGGGGGGGGAAAGGGATACTCCAGAGCCAGATGCAAGTGTGGAATTGTTGCTGCTAATACAGACGTGTACTGAACTTCATCAGTTCATTCTTTGACCACTAAAGGTAAGTGATTTCCCTTTTTCTGCTATTTAAAGTACAATGCTACACAAATGCTTTAGAAAGAGCACAGTCTGCTTCATTATCAATTAACAGTATTATTCAAAGAAAAGGTTCAAATTCTGATTCCAGCTACAGTTTATATTCAAGTTTAGAAAATATAGGAGGATGAAAAGCAGGGATATTTGGAGAATTTAATCTCAGATGGGAAAAGACATTTATTATAGAAAGCCATCTGAATTTCCCTGCTTTGTTGTCTCTGAAGTTTGAAGAAGCTTTTACTTTAGTTTGTGAAAGAGATTTGTTGTTACTTGTTTAGAACAGCCCAAGGATGAGAACTAGTATATGCCCAATTGTACTTGGGATTTCTTTTAGTTTTGAACAATTATTTTTTTCAGAAACCTTAGGAAGGAAAGATGTGCAACCTAAAGCTGCCAGTTGTCTTCATTGTACTCTCTGTTACTTTAAGTTACCTGGAAGCTACACCTATAGAAAGGTTAGTAGTGAACATGGTTTTTTATTTTTAATGAAAAATGAGATATTTCAAACTAATATACTAAACTTCTTGCAATTGTGTTTCAGATACTTTGAGAAAAATAGGGCTATTCAGCTTAACTTTGTATTTTGTTGTTTGTAAAGAATATTGTCTGTGGCTGATGACCTATCTGACGGGACTTCCAACAGACAAGGATGGATATTGCCGATCATGTCAAGGAACACACTCTTGGGACTTAGTGAGGGAATGCCAAAACAGGCAGGAAAGCCAAAAAGGTATCCATCTCTTCTACATTCTTTTAGACAATTCAGATGTAATTACATTTAGTAGTGCAGTTTGTGCTAGTGATTTTTTTTTTCTCATATTTGTTTAATTTTAGAGATTCAACTCTTAGGCAGACCTTAAAATATCCTTCTTGCCATTCTGCAAGTGTTTTTCAAATTACTGCAAACTATCTCAAGTTAAGGAAAAATGAACTATGACCGAAAGAATAAAGTTAGAAAAGCAACTAGGTAAACCAGACATTTTATAAGCTTTTTTAAAAAAAGCTATAATTTATGTTCCTGAACTTTCAATTCATAAAAGCACAACATTTTTAGGTTACATTGTAAAAACAATGATTATTTTAAGGTTTTTTTCATGTCAATACTAATTTTTGAAGCCTGAATTAAGAGAGGAGTAGGGGAGAGGGAACTAACTTTTAGGGAGAATTCAACACTAATTTCTGAACTGAACACTAATTTCATGATCGAGTGAATCACAAACAATTTATCCTGCTAGAATTTAGTTTGGACTACTATAGGTTTATAAATGTATTACCCGTGAACTTTTTTATGTGCTTTTAAAAGAATTTGGAGTTTATGCTAAATGATAAATGACCTTGATTAATCCTAAGAAAAATTAGTTATGTCTTTTAGTCTGTCTTATTGGGTCATTAGGTAAATAGTTTCATTAAGCACATCTTTTGTATGGTAGCTTCTGATCAGATTTGTGTATCCCACACTGAAGAATCATTGTTACATGCCAAACTGATTACCTTCCAAAATAAATGTGGGTAGTAAATACGGAGCCCTAGATTCATGCATTAAAAGAGTTCTCATAATTTAAAATATATTTTTTTGCAAGATAATGTCTTTATAACTCTGGCATTTGATATCCTGCTCATCAGTGACCCAGTCTGGTTGTCTTCTCCCAAGTGATAGCCCCAGTGACACTACACAGTTGAATAACAACTGATGGATCAGGTGCCTAGTGAGCCGACAACCTTGAGGTCATTTGGTTCAACTGTGTCCTGTTACAACCAAGACATGGTTTGTTACATCAGTTTTGCAGGGCCTACTAGTGTAAAAAAATTCCAGTTTATAGTTTGAAGCCTGATTCTGCTCCATTTAAAAACAATGAGAGCTTTGTTATAATGAACAGCCTACGTAGTTCATAAAAATCAGATATTAGTTAATGTTTTTTTGAAGTAAAACAGGGTAGCAAGTTCCCCCATTCATTAAACACAACATATTATTGCCTGGATGTCTAGAACTAGTACTTTATCTCCTCTCCAGCTTTAAGGACCAGCTTCAACTCCACTTGAAGTCAACAGAAAGACGTACTAGGAGAACGCCCACTTCCCACCCCTGAAAAATCACTATAACTGGAATATAATGGCATATTTTTTTAATTTTATAAACTAGCACCCATTTTCCAGCCAGCTGTTATAACTCAGACATTTACCACAGTGTCTAATTTCATCATGCTGCAAAATTATAATGTGATATTTTAGATGGTATGGATAGTTAATTAATAGAATTGTACATTTATGAGGAATTAGTTAATAAGCAACATTGCTGAGTTTCTTACTGTATACAAAGAATCATTGGCCTGTTCTATCTCAAATTATTATTTACTTTCTCTATGTCATGTCAACATATGGACTATTTTGAAATAGTAAAAGCAAAAGCTTCCAAACAAATTGTCCTTAGCTCAGGAAACACTGTCAATAATAGAGAGTGTCCATTAGAGATTGGCTTACAGGTCTGAACTGAAAGATTGAAATTTCTGACTTCCCTAGAGCCAAAATTTTATTATGATAACTCATTTAAATGCTAGATTCCATCTGAAGTATATTCTATAAACTCAGCAAAATAAGTTGTGTTGCATAAAACTTCAAAGCTAAGCTTCTTTTGGGATATGGATATTTAAGTGGAACTCTGTAAGAAAATAAGGTTCTTTTAAAAAATGTTTCCCTCCTACAAGGCCTGTAATGCCACACTGCTGTGCTCTGGTCAAGAAGTGGCTACTTCTAATAGTGAAGATTTTGTTTGCACAAAGCAAAATCTTCAGAGGTGCAGAACATAACAAAAAAGAAAGATGCTCAGTTGCTCTTTGGTTTTAGCCAGTATTTTGAAGAAAGTGTCTTGAGCCCCAGTTCCTTTGTACTTAATTAGAGGTTTATCATTGACTCCAATGGGAGCATGATGTAACCCTGAAAGACTAAGAGACCTAAATAAATGTAAGTGATTACGATAATGTCAATCATTCTCATGGTATCAGTAAGTTCTCTAAACAGCCTCAAAAGTTCAGCTTAAAGAGAAACATTTAGTCATTGTTTTCACTGACTGTCTTAACTATACTAGAATTACAGGTTCTGTAGATGCCATAAACTACTGTGCTGAACATCAATGCAAATGACATATGAGTCTTGAGGTCTTGCATTTAACCTACTCCTATTATTAAAACTGATAATAGCATACGGTGCAATATTTTTTTCAAGCACAAAGTAGGTGGCAGGAAGATTGTAATGTTAACGTATTTGTGCTCACATTAAAAACTCCTACATTATCACTGTTCAAATGCCTTTCAGAAGTGGCACATTTGATTGCTCATCCTTAGACTTCACCCTGACTCGTTTTGTTTTATGTTACAGTCACCGCTTAGAGAAACGGAAATGCAACACTGCTACGTGTGTGACGCAACGCTTGGCTGACTTTTTAGTTCGTTCTAGCAACCACATCGGGGCAATTTATTCACCTACCAACGTGGGATCCAATACATATGGCAAGAGGGATAGAGTTGGGCTTTTAAACAGAGAACCCCTAAGCTATCTACAGCTTTAGTGCATTTAATATGAACTACTGCTGTAAATTTCATTAGGAGTTCCTCCCCAGTTTTTATGTAACCTTTTAGTCATTTACTACCTGTACATTCTTAACAGTGCCTTGTTTTCTTTGTGTGTGTGTGTGTGTGTGTGTGTATGTACATGACTCACATTTATCATTTTACTATGCATGTATGCTGACATGCATAATCTATGGTTCTGATTTCACAAAGAATTTGTAAAATCTGCTTGTGAATTTCCTTTGTAAAAAGAAAATAAATCAAAAAAATAAACTGAACTGTAATTGCTACAGGTTTATTTAATTAAAAAAGGATTTAAAAGACAACTGTTATGTGTATATATCTATAGTCCCAGGTGCACAAGGGGGAAAATGAAGTCTATGTAAAGCAGCCACGTTAGTCCACTCGAGAAACTGAGAAATATCAGCTATCAAATGGAAGTCCATTGTAAGTGAAACAGAATTGTACTCTAGATGAGTTTATAATCACTTTGGCTCAATGCAGGAATTGCTGACTAAAATCCTATAGCCTACATTAGGGAGGAAATTAGAATACTTGATTTCAATAGCCGCTTCGTACCTTAAGAATTAATCTAAAAATGGTATCTCTTTCAGGTTTCGCTAAATATTGCAGTATGTTATTTTTAAAACTTCAGCATTCTTATTTTAAAAGTTTAATGCATGTGACTATAAGCACCAAGATAAATTCTATAAACAATAAATCTCAACAGAAGCAAATACAGCTAATCAAATGACAGTAACTTCTTCCTTTTCTTGAAAACAGGTCCTGCAAGGGTCCTTGCCTGCTCCCTTCTCTGAGGTGGAAGAATAAGATGATTAAAAGTCTGATACCTTTGAAACCTGTTTATGACGCAGTTAATTTTTTTTCTTAATATACATGAGCATAAAACAAATCTTTAAAGTCTAACAATATGTCAAAACTGTATTCACAGCTAGCTCAACTGGCTAGCTCAAGAACCAGTTGCACTCTAGTCACAGCTTCAGGGTTCAGTTCAGTCTGGGCTGGAAAACCTGTAGGGTCAGTTCTCCCATGCTGAGCTCCATGCCATCATAACTTAACTACTGCAGAAGATCACCTCAACCAGAATGCAAGCCAGTTTGAACTTTCCATCATATTCTCAGTTAAAACCTCAATAACAACAGATGAAAGTTCAACTAAAATCATTACTATCTTTTTAATTCTTTCTGATTATGAAAACTGTTTAGCAGAACTTGTGTTGAACGTTCATCTCTTTCACTGAAAAGAGCCATTACTGAAAAATGGAATTAAACCTTTACATTTTGCATTTGGCTGATTTGAGTCCTTAAATTTCCTTTAAAAAGTGTGCCTTAGATCGCAAACTCTTTTAAAGTTTTAACTTTAACTTTTAAATTGTGTATTGGCTTCTTTTTATGAACTATATTGAAGTGCATTAAATAAAAACTAAAGCAGTGTGAAAATGTTTGTGCTGTTAACCTATTTCCAATCATTCTCACTTGTTCAGAAAAGGTACGCCAACAGATATTTATTCACAAAATATTTGAGAAAGTCATTCAGAAGATCTTAAACTTGAGTACATCAAGCAGTTGAAAAACATTTTATTTCTCTTCATTCTTGCTTTAGTTATTTCACAGATCTTATGCATCCCTGTTGGATTCAATTTTTTTTCCCCACTCAAGTGAAATAACCACCCTCCAAGAAGAAAATACTAAAGTAATGTTAGCATTTCTGTGAGCTGTCAGGAGCACAGTGTACTGGTGTGGAACAATAATTTACAAAGCACCTTGGTGATAGTTGCAAGTCAGTGGTCACTTCAGGGTTTATCATCATGCCAAATGGTTAAGGGAGGTTCTATATTTATATAATATAAGTAAAGTAGAACTGTTTTCTATATTAGAGGTGTCTGTTATTCAGTTCAATGGGAAGAATTTGCCTAGGAAGAGAGCTTCAGTGGTATTCAGTACAAGTTTTTTTTTCTATTGTCCTTTGCACACACACAGTAACAACAGACTCGCTGTCATTTATTTTATTGGGAAGATTCTGAGAAAAATCACCCATCAGCCAGATCAAGCCAAAAGAATTTTAGCATTACACATTTGGCTTTCCATTCAGCAAACAGTTAAGTGAGTACTAAGCATATAACTCAAAGGAACTGTGATGCCTTTTACTAAAGTTTTGTCACTTTAGGCTTGTTCCTTTAAGGTGCTGAGAATTCTCCATTCCCATTAACTGCAACTGCTTGCAGGCAAGTAAACATCTCAATATATTGACGTTTCCTATAATATACATAGAATACCATAAACCAAGAAAATATTTCTAGGCTGATTAGCCAGTATTCCTTTACTCAGGCTAAATTCCTAGAGCATGGAGTTCAGGTTAGAATCTTCAATAAAAGTGTTTTGGATGTGGCTTCATGTTAGCAATGCAAGTGCTGCCTGTCCACATCAGCTCCCAGGAAAAGATTGCCTTCCCATCACCAGAGGCACTTGAAACTAGATTGGACAAGGTATTAGAATTCCATCTGTAGCTTCTAGGCTCTGTTACAGGTGTGAATTGTTCATCCTGAAAACAGTGCCTGGCCAGGCTACTGAAGCATCAAAATGGTCAGTCCACAGTCTTGCAGGTAAAGTAAAGATCTGTAAAGTGCTTCAAAATGGGTAGGTAAATCTGTCAGCTCAAACACATTTATCTTGGAAAAACTGTCTAAGCCAAGAGTTGTGCTAGTATACACACACCCTATTTAGAGACTAATTCTAGTCCCTATATTCATACTGAGTTCCTTACTATGTGAGTTGTTTCACTGACTCAAAGGAGTTTACTTGCAGCAGGAGGAGGTACTACTTACCCTTGTGAAGGGTATCAGCAGGGCCCTTAAAGTTAGAAAGGGCAGGAAGTAGGATCACATGCCAGCAATGTCTCATTTTTCCTTGAGAGAGAAAACAGTTAAAAATTGACCTTTCAAAATGAGCAACTGGTATAAACAGCAGGTGTGGAGCTAGTGTCTGCATGCCCTTAGATGTTTAAATACCTTTAAAAGTTAGCCCCTAAATGCTCACAACTCCCTTGGGATTTGGGTGCAGTTGAAATGTTTCACACTTCCCAGGAGAAATATTTAAGGAAGAAGAAAGAGAAGAGATAGGAAATACTTCAAATGATAAAAGTGTGATAAAAAGAGAAAATGTTTTTTCTTTATAAAACAAAAATGAGATTTCTCTGTTCCGTAGCCGACGCATACCTCCTGAGGCTGGGGGGGCATGGGGACTGCCTGCAGGTGGTACTGCAGGCATCAGCTGTGAAGGCAGGCTGAGCGGGGACTGTCCACAGGTGGCTGCAGTGGTGTCAGCGGCCGAGGGGGCTGGAGTTCCCCCCCACGCCCCGTGCCGGACGCTGAGCCTGCAAGTGCCAGTGGTGTGCCTAGGAATGCCAGCGGGACTTCTTGGGGGGGCACCAGCGCTCTACCTGGCCCCCTGCCCATCACCTAAGCTGAGAGTGCTCACTCTCAGGGCAGGGTACCAGTGCTCTCAGGGGTGCACGTGCACCCCCATGCACCCCCTACACATCACCTGTGCTTTGTTCTGTTATGAGCTGATATTAAAACAGGGCACAGTATGGACACTACCCGATTTTCCAAACTGCATGAAGAAAAATACAGACTAAATGTACAGGTAGTAAATAACTAAGAGGTTACATAAAAACTGGAGAGGAACTCCTAATGAAACAAATACAGATCTAACAAAGTCAAAGAAGCAAAAAGGAAGGAAAGAATATGAACACTTTAACACAGTTGTAGGCCCAAGGGTCTAATATTTCCCAGAGACTGCAACATTTTCATAAAAGGTAGAACTTACATTTTCTCATAATGGAAAGAGTTAAAAAATTGATTTTATTTCAAAAGGATTTAATCTAAACTTAAAAAGTAAATTTCATATTCATGAAACTTATATTTTAAAAGTTTGAGTGAATTTTCAGTTTCCATCAAGAAAATTTAAATATTTCTCCTGCCAAATAAGATTCTGTGTTAGTACCTTAACCACTTACATTGTTTGCCAGGACCTCCCCTGACTTCTAGCAGGACAGAGTAAGGAGCCTGAATTTTGTTGAATGGTTTTGTAAAAGCATTTGACATTTAACATAATGAACCTACAAGTAAAAACAATTTTAAAAAAAATTGTTTCTTGTGCAGCTGCAGTCTTCATTTTTTGGAGTGATGCTGATTTTGAGCCTATTCATATATAAATGCAACTTGACATTTATGGTAGACTCCTTTTGTTCACAGTAACAGGGTTAAGTAATTTTGTTGTCTAACTTCATTATCATGTCAAAAAAGGACTGCTTTATATTGCTTTTGTTGAATGCCACTAGCAGAAAGCAATGGTTAGATATGACATCTCATTGCTGTGTACAGAAGCTAAAAATAATGGTTGAAGTACCATAAAATAGAATCTTTCTAGGGGGTAATGACAACTTCTGTTTCTGTCATCTTATTATATGCTCTTAACTTTCTTGCATGCTTAAAAAGTGAAGTTTGCCAATAAATAAGTTAATACATATGTGTATTAATTTTGATCAAGATACATTATGATGCCTGAACCCCCAAGATTAGGTCAACCTCTGGTTTAAAGGAAACTGTTAAAGATATCCAAAGATTTAGGAGCCTTTCTGACTCTGTACAGCCAGTCTGAAGATCTTACATAGCTTGGTCCCTAGTTCCATAGCTGCTATTAAAGGTATATCCTGAGGTAGAATCCCCCAAGCAGAATATGCTTCTTAGAGTATTTTTTTTTAATCAAAATGATAAATGTTCTAGTCTCATAAGATTGGGAATGCACATGATACTGAACATGATATCAAAACACATTTCATAGTTAACTGGTGGAACTCATTGTCACAGGAGGTTGTAGAGGCAGGGAGTATAACTGGATTTTAAAAAGGGTTTAGACACATTCCTGGAGGGCAGGTTGACTGTGGGCTGTTAAACAATCAGGGATGTATCTTTTGACACTCCCAAACCAATGATGGTTTTACCAGGGAGGGTATGACATAAGATCAATCACTAGAGACATTCATATACTTTCCCTCTAAGTACATCTCCTACTTGCCACTGTTGGACACAGGCTACTGAGAGAGATGTACCATTGGGCACATCTACATGTGCATTAACTCACTTTAGTTATTGTGCATTTAATCTAGTACCTCCATTGTGGGGTACTAGGAAAATGAGCATTAGCCTGTCTTAATGTGCATTAACTAAAAAGCATCTTTTAAAGTGAGGCTTAATGCACATTAGCTTATTTTAATGCCCATTAAAAAGCACAGTTTTTAAGTG